AGAGTGGAGGGGGGGGGGGGGGGGGGGGGGGGGGGGGGGGGAGTTATTTAGCAAAAGGGAAAACCATCTTCGATTTGTTGAACATAAAAACGAACTGCTGTTAACTCGTACAACCTTCCCAACAGTTTTTGTCTGGGACTGTAGGTTAAAAGGTCCATTTTCTCTGTTGAATCGATAGGCTTATAAATAACTATTCTGCAAGGCAATTTGAAATCATCATTGAAACTTCGATCTTTTGTGAACAAAACAGCTTACGGTAACCGGTAATTACGGATCGAGGAATAGGCTTCGGAGCCGATCCTGGAGAAAGAGACCGAAATCCAGCCTAAATCTTCTTATTCCTTTTACAGGTAATAAACATCGTTTTCAAATGGACTTCAGCAAGTGGAACGTCTTCTGGAGTTTGTGCTTTGGGCTGTTGTCCTTTCTAATCATCGTTGGAAATGCTCTATCCATATCAATACTTTTCAAGAGAAAGCTACGAAAGCGTCCTCATTACTTGTTAATTAGCTTGGCTTTCGCTGATCTCTTGGTTGGATTAATCCCAGTGCCACTTTACATTATCATTCAATACTCACGATATCGAATTTTTGGTTTGGTTTATACTCGCGGGGATATGTTTGCAGGCTTAAGCTCGGTCTTCACCCTTGCGGCTATTTCCCTAGAAAGACTGCACGCAATTGCTCGGCCTCTTCGCCATCGACAACTCACCTTACGCAGCTATGCGATTGCCATAGCAACCCCATAGATCTTCTCCCTTATAGTGACGTTCGTTCCCGTTTTCCCCTTCATAACCTATATTCAGACCAGTTCCGTGATAATTATTAGCTTGTCAACACCTTTATTGATAACTTGCATTTCCTACTGTATCATTTGGAGGATGCAATCTTCTAGAATTCCCAATGAAACTCAAGCAAGAAAGAGCGTTCACTTAAATAAGACGCTGCTATTGATAACCACAATATTTGTTCTGTCATGGTTGCCTTTTCAAGTTTTAGCAGCTGTTTTAAATTTCTGCATCTCGTGTCGACGTTTAAACAAAACTCTGATAATTTTACTATATGTTATTAAGCTTCTTCTGCTGATGTCGAAATACGCCTAAGGCCCGTTTCAAACGTCGTGCTACTGCCGTGCCGAACTCAATTGCTCGAATTAAATTCGACTATAGCACGGCTGTGGCGCGACGTTTGAAACCGAGTCGTGTTACTGCCGTGTAGCATGGCAAGCCTTGCCGTGCTACACGGCAGTAGCTCGACTTGGTTTCAAACGTCGTGCTACCGCCGTGCCGAACTCAATTCATAAATTATATTAATTAACATTAGAATACATTTAACAGTTTACTAAACCGTTTCTATTTTTTTGTGTTTTGTTTTGGGCAACAGCCGTAGCCTGAAATTCATCCGATTGCTTCGAGTCGTTTTCTCCTCTCAACAACGTCTGAATCGACGGGCCTTTAATGCCGTCCAGTGACGTCACTCACTACCCCAAAACCGGGTAGTGATTTTGATTGGTTGATTGTCTAAACATTCGCATAATTATGTATAATTATGAAAAATTTTAGCGGGATTGTCGCTTGATTTTCAGCGGATCGCGTCTCTGGCGTTCTTTCGTGTAGTTCAAACATTTCGATAAGCTTAATCTTTATCTTAAACAGCAAAATTGCCCTTGTCTTCGAAAGTGAAATGCTAAATTGAACCGCGAATGAAGAATCATTGCGGAGAGTCGGTAGGTTGGGTTTCCATTTAGAGCCGCTTTGTGGTTTCGGCGGCAGGTGATTTTGTTTACGCGAAGTTTTCTGAGATCAATGTTATAATCTTCTTGCTATTTTCACCGTCAAGTGTAATGATTCTGTTAGCTTTTCTTTCTTGTTTCCTTGTTTTTTTCTTCGTTAAGGACCAAATAGCTTCTTTTCAATTAAAGCAAATCATTTTGTTTTTGAACTAAGTGCTCCGTTTGTGTTTTTATTTCATTGCGTGATTGCGACCGAGTTTGATTATGGAATTTAGTACAACCGGTTCAGAGTTGTACTGCATGCAGTTGATAGTTTGAACGTTAAACATGAATTACGATCGAAAAAAATAAAGCAATTCTGTATCTTGCAGACATTTCCAAACGATATTTCTCGGTTTGCCACTTGAAAATCGTGTTTTACTTTTTGCATGAATTAAAGCAAAGGTCAAGGAGTAGTGACGTCACTGGACGGCATTAACGGCCGGTCGATTCAGACGTTACTGAGGGAGTAATAACGACTCGAAGTAATCGGATGAAATTCAGGCTACAACAGCCGTTCTTTTCGACTGAATTAAATTCGACGTCGAAAGCAAGTCGTGCTAGTGTCGTGCTACAGTCGAGCTACAGTCAAGCCAGATGGCACGGCTGTAGCACGACGTTTGAAACAGGCCCAATTTACATTGTAACTGAGCGTTCAAACTTTTTATAATTTAGAGTTTTCTTAATAAAAGACTGATTTTGCCATCGACCACTATTGCAGCGGTTAGTAAAATTTGTTATAGTGATGACTATGATCTGTCAGCCAGTTTATCCACGGCAGTTATGACAACCTATAGGGCTGCATAAATTAAAGAATGCTGTCATAAATTCTTTCTAGCTTCATATTGATTCATAATATTTCGGTTTGTTATGTATATATACTTCACATTTTGTTGCATTGTGAGAAACAATAAAATGACGAGTTAAACAACTCCAGTTAAACGCCTAACGCCGGCGATTCCCCTCTGCGACTTGCTAAACTCTTTTTCACTGTCAACTGTACATGCTTTTTGCTTATTTAATAAATGACTCACTCAAGAATGGCATCGAGCGTATTTAAGACCAGTTGCTATTCTAGGTTCGATTACCGGTCACTGTTCTGTAAATGAGCAACACAGGTTGGGGCGTTTCTCGTAAGTCCAAACTTTTCGGGCCCCGAAGCCAAATATTAAAATCAAAATCTAAGGAACCAAAGCGCGGGTTCTACAATATCATCGTCAAAAGGGTTGGGAAGGCTGCTACTTTTTAACTTTTTTTCCTTTCTTTTCCCCGCTGCCTCCTGGCCCGATGTTAAGCAAAACATAAGCAGTCTGTGCGTGTATCAGTTTTGAATCGTTCTGTTATATATTCCAAGATAGGTGGGACGGGGCGGGGGGGGGGGGGGG